CCATTGTATGTGCTTGCTGCCTTTGTCAAATATTAATTGAGCATAGTGGTTCGGGCCGATTTCTGGGTTCTCTATTCTATTCCATTGATCTATATGTCTGATCTTGTGCCAGTACCAGGCAGTTTTGAGAACAGTGGCTTTGTAATACAGCTTGATATCTGGTATTGAGATCCCACCTACTTTGTTCTTCTTTCTCAGGATCGCGGCAGCTATTCGGGGTCTTTTTTAATTCCAGATGAATTTTTGGAGAGTTCGTTCTAGGTCTGTGAAATATGCTGTTGGTACTTCTGCTTTCTTTTGATTAGTGTTAGCATGGTATATTTTTCTCCATCAATTTACTTCTAACTGCATTCTCTTTTTTTATTATGATTATTGATTTTAGGGAAAAAGAGAAACATTGATTGGTTGTTTTACTTATTTATGTATTCACTGGTTGATTCTTGTATGTGCCCTGATCAGGGATCGAACCTGTAATCTTGGTGTATGGGGATGATATTCTGACCAACTGAGCAACCCAGCCAGGGCTTAACCCTATTCTCTTTTAAGAAACATTTCCAGAAGTCCCAGACATTTCCACATATACCTCATTGCCAGAACATGCTACATGACTACAACATCTTCCTTTTTAAGAAAATATCATTTTAAAAAGCATTTTGAGCCCAACCGGAGTGGCTTAGTGGTTGAGCATCGACCTCTGAACCAGGAAGTCATAGTTCAATTCCCGGTCAGGCACATGCCCAGATTGCAGGACCAGTATGGGGCATGCAGGAGGCAGCCGATCAATGATCCTTTCTTATCATTGATGTTTCTGTCTCTTGCTTGCTCTCCCTTTTTCTCTGAAATCAATAAAAATATGTTATTAAAAAAAAGAGAAGCACTTTGAGTCCAGCTGGTGTGGCTCAGTGATTGAGCATCAACGCATGAACCAAGAGTTCATCAGTTCGATTCCTGGGCAGGGCGCATGCCTGGGTTGCAGGCTCGATCCTCAATGATGGGGCAGTGCAGGAGGCAGCCAATTGATGTTTTTTTCTCATCAATGTTTCTATGAATCTATCCCTCTCCCTTCCTCTCTCTCTAAAAATATCAATAAAACATTTTTAAAATTCAGCTTGCAAAAAACAAAAAACCATTCTGAATGCTCTTTTATGATTATATAATTATTAGAGGCCCGGTGCACAAATTCGTGCACCAATCGGGTCCCTCAGCCTGGCCTGTGAGATTCGGCCGAAACTGGCTCTCCAACATCCCCTGAGGGGTCCCGACTTGAGAAAATAGTGGAGCTCTTTCTAAGAAATGCTGCGGCCCGGTGCAAATTCGTGCACCAATGGGGTCCCTCGGCCTGGCCTGTGAGATTCGGCCGAAACTGGCTCTCCAACATCCCCTGAGGGGTCCCAACTTGCGAGAGGGTGCAGGCCAGGTCAAGGGCCCCCACCAGTGCAAGATCGGGGCCAGGAAGGGATGCGGGAAGTTGGCCAGCCGCGGGGGGGCCCGTGGGAGGGCTTCAGAGCATGTCCAGCCCATCTAGCTCAGTCCCGATTGAACAGACCCCAGCAGCAAGCTAACCTATCGGTCAGAGCATCTGCCCCCTGGTTGTCAGTGCACATCATAGCGAGCCGTTGAGTGGCCTTAGCATATCATTAGCATATTATGCTTTGATTGGTTGAACAACCAACCAGTCGACCAGACACTTAGCATATTAGGCTTTTATTATATAGGATTACTATTTTATAATTTTGTTGAGATATAATTTACTATAAAATCTGCTCATTTTAAGGGTACAGAATTTTTTTAGTAAGTTTATGTAGTTTTGCAACAATTACTACAATCTAGTTTTAGAACTTTTTTTTATCACTCCAGAAAGATCCTTACACCCATTTGTAGTCAATCCCAATTACCTCCCCCCCCCTTTTTTTTTATTATTAGTTAAGGTATTACAAATGTGTCCTCATCCCCCCCATTAACCCCCAACCTCCCACACACACACACACTCCTGCTCCCATCCCCCTGTTGTCCATGTCCATTGGTTTGGCTTATATACATGTATACAAGTCCTTCGGTTGATCTCTTACCTCCCCCCCTTTTTCATAATCTCTCTGGAAGTACCATATTACATTACCACTTTATTTCAAGGGCCAGATATTAGTCAAATTAGTTTCAAAGAAGGCTGTTTTTATTTTATTTTATTTTTTATTTTATGTTATTAATTTTATTATTTTATTTTATTTTATTTTTATTTTATTTTATTTTATTTTAAATCAGCTCATTGACATCTTAAATAAAAACTGACTCCAGCCCTAGCCAGTTTGGCTACTCAGTGGATAGAGCATAGGCCTGCAGACTGAAGGGTCCTGGTTCGATTCTGGTCAGGGGCACATGCCTGGGGTTGTGGGATCAATCCCCGGTACGGGGCGTGCAGAAGGTTGCTGATCAGTGATTCTCTCTTATTATTAAGGTTTCTATTTCTCCCTTCCTCTCTGAAATCAATTAAAAAATATATTTTTTAAAAAACTGACTCCATTGCTAAAGAAAAAGGGGAGAGTGGATGATGGGTTGCTAACTAACCATATTTACCACAGATAGATGGTGTTATATTCTTTACTTTAGAAATGAAGTAATCAGATCTTAGTGAGTTGAGAAATTTAACCAAGGAAACCTTGCAGTCTTAAACCTTCTAATTTAAATTTTCCTTCAAACCAGAAAAAGGCCACAATGTTTTGATAATAGCAGTTTAGCCTGAGACCCACCTGTTTGAGCCATGGAATCTTACAGGATCAATGGTGGCTCGTTAGCAGTCTTTTCGATATTTATTTTAGATTTTCAGAAGTATAAAAAGACAGCTCAGTTGAATTCACCAATATGATTGTTGTTCCCTCAAACTTGACTAGCCTTCAACTACTTCTTAGCCAAGCTAACCCCTTGAAGCCCTGCTCAGGGGTCACCTTCAGGAGGTCTCCTTGACTTGCCTACTCAGGGTACCCAGTATGTACCCTGTGCTTTCCTGATCACACTCCACAGAGCAGAGCCTGCTCTAGTCAGAATTTGTTTAACTCCTAGATTAAAGACTTGTTCTCGAGGTTGGGACTCTTGTCCTAGCTGACCTTGTTTTCCCAGGGTCTAGTCTAGTGCCTGGCACCCAACAGGTCCTCAGTCAGTGCTTAGAAAATGAATGAGGGAGCCCTGGCCAGTGAGCCTCAGCTGGTTGAGCATCATCCTATACACAGAGAGGTCACCGGTTTATTCCCAGTCTGGGCACATGCCCAGGTTGTGGGCTTGATCCCCTGTTGGGGGCGTGAAGGAGGGAGCCTATGGATGTGTCTCTTACTGATTTTTTTCTCTCTCTCCCCCTCTCCCTTCCTCTCTCTAAAAAATCAATAAAAACATATTTTTAAAAATGAATGAGGGAGTCATCGCAATGTGTTCCACACTCTGCTTCAGTTGTTTGCTATTGCCAACGTTATTGATTGATTTGTAAACTTTTTCTTTCAATACCTATCAAGATTCCGGTGACAACTTTGAAGAAATGACACTGAATTTTTGAGCTGCTTTGTGTTGATGTCTTTTTTGTTTTCCCACAGGAAGGAAAAAGAGGAGGAAGAGAGACATAAGTTGTATGACTTTTCCTTGCCACTTTCAAGTCATGATGAAAGCTCCTATGATGATTCTGACTTCAGGTAGGTAGAACAACAACAGGAGGAGAAAACGGAAATTGTGGCCAAAGACTGAAAAATAACAATAATGATTCCCAGGAGAGAGAAGAGAGCTCATTATAATTTTTTGTAGGCTGAGTGAAAAACAGGAGTGAGCAGTGTTTTACTTGGGTGACTACATTTATTGATGCATTTAGTCTTTTACCCATTTTTGTGGGTCCTGGGTGTGGGTGCCGTGCTGTGTGGGTCCTGGGTGCGGGTATCAGGTTCCCTCCTCCTTCCTGTCAGACTCTGGGTTCAGCCACAGGACCCAGAGTCAAGTCCCCTCACACCTGTGCAGGCCTCAAAATCACTTGAGACCCAGACCCAGCTGGCCCCACCCCCACGGGGCAAGACCCAGACCTGGCTGGCCACACACCTGTCAAGCCCAACCCCCCCGCAGCATCACATCAGTGCTGGGCGGGGACACACAGAGGCAGCGCCACGTCCCAGGCCAGGACACAGGCAGGCAGCTTCACCTCAGCGCTGGGCAGGGACACACACAGGCAGTGTGATGTTAGTGCTGGGTAGTTCTGAGTGCACCTCCACTGGGGGTGGAAGTCCCCACCACCGTCCCTGCCCACCAGCTCCTGCCTGCACAGCAGCATGTTGACTAGTTGTGATGGGAACACCATTAGGACCAATTAGCATATTACCTCTTTATATAAATAGATAGTCACCAAATTCTTTCTTGGTA